AGGCGTTTGGCGGGATTTGAACCCGCGCATCAGAGAAAGCCTTTACCGAATGTTACGATTTGAATAAACGCCCAACTTAAGCGGCAGTGTGTGCCAAGTGACGAAAATCTTACAAGTCCCGACTCGAAGTGCTTGCTATCCATCTGATATCCGGCCCCCTATGAACCGTTTATCTGCGCCGCGTTTGCTCCTTTTTTTGATTGAGCTTAAGATTGGCTGAATGACAGCAGAATAAACAGTTGTTTGTGAATGTACCCACATTGTCCGTCGTTCCTCATATAAATGTATAGTACTGCTGTTCTCAGAACTACGGCGATTCCTTGCTCGAGTAATCGCTTGCCGAAACTTTTGGTTTATCCCTCGGTGCGGAAAGCGCTGCCTGTATGCATCCACTTTGCTTGACCAAGGTTAATGCAGTTGAACAAATTCTCTAATTCCCGCATAATAAGCTATTGCTTACGCGTGTTACTTACTTTTTAGTTCTCTAACTTCCAACTCACAGACGAAGCGCCTCGTGGCGAGCCGGAACGTAAATACGTTCCGCCACACCTACGCCAAGGCGCGTATATCCCCGAACCTGAGAACCCTTACGATCGTCCTGCCCCTAATAGTTTTGGCAGTCGGGGTGGGGGCTACCAAGATGGTTTCAGAGGACGAGGAAGAGGTGGTAGTGGATTTGGGAATCGGTCAGAGTTTTCCCGTGGAGGTGGATTTCAGAATAACAGATGGCAAGACTCAAATGACGGGTAGGAATAGTTCTTCAACTAATTATTTAGTTTCCGTGGTGGCCGTTTTAGTGCTGGAGGTGCTTTTTCAAGTGTGCGGCGTGGACCAGACGAGTCGTCCACCGTAGACTGGAACGTCCAAACTCCGAGAAATGAGCGTGTGGAGAAGGAACTTTTCCAGAAGGCTAACACTGGCATTAACTTCGATCAATATGACAACATCCCGGTCAGCATGACGGGACCTGAAGTTGATAACCTTGTCCCGATAACTTCGTACGGGGATTTGTCCTTAAGTCCCATAATGAGGGACAACATTGCCTGCGCCCAGT